ATAAATGATATTTCGTCAGAGAGTATTGAAAACAGCTCTTATTCAAACTTTGCTGAAGGTAGACACCAAATGTAGGTTTATCCTCATATAGTAACATTTTTTGTCTGATGTTTATGTATATACATGTATATGCACAATTGCAAGCTTTAGTGTGCATTACTTGAGCATAGAGAATTGAACATAGAGATAGGTATATGAAAGACTGTACGGTGTTGTAATTGACCTTTGGAGAGGTGATTGTATATTTTATTGATATCCAATATATTATAGCGTTTTAGGAAAAAAAATTACTCCTTTCATTTGTAAACAAATGTAACAGTTTTCTTAACTCTCATAATTACAAATTTTCCTGTACTTTTACATATTTCTTTTAGCATCTCTTCATTACTTCATTACAGAAATTGGAGGAAGTAGAAATTTAGCGTATTTTGTAAGAGTTGTGACTTCTTGGTACTAAGAAAGATACCCAACCAAGCATTAGATCAATCAGGTATGTTTGTGGAACAACAAAGTGAGATTCAAGTAAAGGCAAGTGTATGCCATATTGCCATTAGTGACAATATGGGGCTTTATAGAGTACTGGTTATTTAATTCATTACTCTATTAAGAAATACAATTGGTACAAATGAAATTCTAGAAAAACTAAAGAGGTTATTAAATTGAAATAAATAGAAATGCTTGGCATATTCATAGAGTTGCCAAAAAAAACCCTATAGGTATAAGATTGTTTTATGATTTTAAGAGTTTCAAGCTCATACCTCAAACCCTATGGTATGGGATTTAGAGACCTGGCGGGGGGAGATAAGTTTGACTCATACTAATAATTTTAGGTATTAAATAAAAGAATGAAACTTCATTCTATAATTCATTTTATAATCAAACAAAACATATGGTATTAATATAAGTTCCAAACCTGATTCCAATCCATAACAATTTGCAAACCAAACACCCATAGTTCAATCAGTTCATTCGTACTAAACATTAGAAAAAAAAAAAAAAAAAAAAAAAAAAAGAGTAATAGAGGATTTGAGTCACAACTGTATCAAAAGTTGATATGTTTCGGCCCAATACTTCCGATTAGGCCTTATGATATTGTGGACTGACAAAGTGAGCCCCAGCCGGATAACACGTGTCAAATACCACAAAAGGCCTGAAAGTATTTGCTAAGCCATACTAAATACTCTTTTTTCTTTTCTTTTTTTTTTTTTTTTTTAAAATACAACACAAATTTTTTTTTTTTTAGGAAATACAACATAATTTTTTTTTTATGACAACGGTCCAAAAAGGAGGCTAGCTCCCAACTGACTCAAGACAACAACGGGAAAATTTAAACCTCTTAACCAAACTAATACGAGAGTTAAAAGGGGGATTGAGGTTACAGACGTTATGAACTGCTTGGCAATACAAATAAGGGGGTTGAGGGTATCCAGCGCCAGAACAAGCCCTAAGCTGCTCTAAACTTGTTCCCTTGCGCTTCTTGATCCTGCAAAAACGACTATAATACCTTTTACCTTTCTTGTTCTTCACCCTTGACCTAATTGACCTTCCATTTTTTCTTGATGTGGCAGGGAACATGAAGGTGGTGAGTGGTGGAGAGGACTGCACTTGATCGGGTTCAACAGTCATGGGGTCTTCATCATTAGAACCTACGGATGCCACTTCATCGAAGTCAGTGGTAGTTAAATCTCTCGTATGTAACTTGTTCCCCTCTCAATATTCGAACCCTCATTGTTGCTAGAAGTTAGGCTAGTAGGTAAATGATCATGTAACTTCTCCAAGGCAGCGCTGTTGGACTTGGGAAGTCCAACAACGTGGTTGACCACGGCGGAGTCCAAGGTTTGCTTGGCCTTTTCCTTCTGGCCCTTTATGTTGTGACACCTCTTTTTTGGACCCACCATCCTAGTGGGCGTGAGTAAGGTTTCAGGAACTTTGGATTCCCTTGCCTTATGGGATTCTAAAAGCCCATCATAGGTGTTATTTTCCTTCACTTGTACAGTCATCCATGATACATCATAATGTTTGCAGAAACTCAAGGTTTTCCCTTGACAGAGACCCGAATAAGACAAATCGGAAATCTTAAGGGACTGATTACTTCTTGATCCGTTATATGAAATTTCCTCGGTCCCTTGTCCTTAGCATGTCCAGAATCCTGGTTGTTTGGAAAGCTAGCAGCATCATCCTCCTCCTTTTCCAAAGAGGAAAGAACATTGGATGTAGTGATAAGGCTCTCTACCATCATCTTATTAGCAGCTTCCATGGAGGGTAAGGCCGTAATATCACTCTGACTGTTGCTACTAGGAAACCCAATAGAGTCTAGATTGACAAAGGGATTTATGATCTTCCTCTTTTTGTTGAAGGTGGTGTAGGACAAGTCGGACTCCTTAGTGCCCCTCTTTCCCTTGAACTTGTTAGCTTTTCTTCTCAATTCCTTGACCTTCTCCATTTCACGAAGGATGTCTTGATTTTTAGGCTCAGTCTTAGCTGCTTTGCCAAGATCTTCATGGGCCTCTTCGAGTTGATAAAGCTTGATTTCGACTAAAAGGGCTTTAGTATTGTTACCATCAAGCATAATGACTAATAAGTAGAGCTCCTTAGTTTATTCGAAATCACAGACTTTCAGGGCGCAAGATGCAAGGTTTAACTCGAGAGATATGACAAGGTTCCATAGGAAGACATAATCATCTTCATTTCTCAGCAGACAAAATTATAGAAGTTTCAACCCTCTGTCATACTTAGCCCCAGCAAGAACGACTTCACCTTTCTTGAAGTAAGAATTACCCTCCTCTTTCAAGTCTTTTTCTTGATTAAGAATGTTCCGAGGACAATTATTTTTGGCAAAGTTGATGATGGTTTCGTTAAAATCATTGTTCAAGTGGATGTGTGTTAGGGCATCAAGTAATAAGCGACAATCCATACTAGCTAGAATAATTGAAAAGGGAAAGGAAATTGGCGAAAACTTCACGAAAGAAACCAACAACAAAGTAGAACAACAATTAGAAAACCGAAAACCTACGGGGAGGCATTCGGCGGCCAACTCGAAACCCAGACTGCAACCGTAGACCGGCGGTGGCCGAGACCCTACCACCAAGACAGACACTGGCAGCAATACAACCACCTTGGGCTCCCTCGCGAAGGACCGACATGTCCCAATAAAACAAACGACAGTGGGATTATGAGCACCACCACCATAGCAGATAGAGGTGTCGCTAAAAAAAAGGGGCGGCCAGGGACAACACCCACGCGAAAGAATTCGACAGATCACGACAGGGATAGGCGGGAATAGCAGAAAACGGCCGGTGATGTGAAGGCCAGAACACTTAGTCGAAAATAAAAGGTACCACTGCAAGAACCGTTGCGGTTGGGTTGGAGTCTTGATAGGGGGGCGCCCCGGCGACCGAAAAGGAAGGCCGACCCACTCCGATCGCCGGCGGCCTGACTGACTACAAACTGAAATCGCGAGGTCCGTTCCTGGTTTTTGATAAAACTAGGGGCTTGAAAAAGGGACTAGTATTGGGTTTCTTTCATTCACGCGTAAGGCGCGTTCGACAGTTACAAATTGAGTTTTTCCTTCACACAACAACACAATTTTTTTGTGCATCATTTTAGGAAGAGATTAGAAGAAATTAATCAAAAGCTAGAAAATGATGATATGACACTTTTTTCTTTTATATATATATATATATATATATATATATATATATATATATATATATATATATATATATATATATATATATATACACTACCTCCGTTAATGATTATTTGCAACAAACGTACCGTTCACGGAGGCCTAGGCAGAGATTAGAAAAAATTAATTAAAAGCTAGAAAAGGATGATATGACACTTTTTTCTTATATATATATATATATGTACTACCTCCGTTAATATTTATTTGCAACAAACGTACCGTTCACGGAGGCCTAGGCAAAACTTTTAATGGGTGTTTAGGGGTGGGTAATTGGAAAGAGGGGCATTTGATTAATTCATTAAAAAAGGAGGGAAAGTGGTCCGGTTTTTAAGAGAAGGAGAGAGAATCTGAAATTTTTGGGGGCCAAATTTTACCCTCCTTTTTAAAAATTTAGTCCTTACCCAAATTTTTCCCTCCCTTTGAATTTTTCATTCAAGGTGGGTATCTATAGAACCTGCCAGAATTTTTTCCAAACATTCAACCAAAAGTTCCATAATCAATTACACCATTGTTTCTTCACAAAAGTTAGACCTAAACTATCATCCTACAACTAATTAGTCCTAGGTCAATTACAACATCTTCATCTTTTTCCTCTGGTTCAGCTACAACACAGCAATCAAAAAACAGCCACCCCACTTCATTACCAGCCCTGAAATTTGGGGAACTCAGCATCATTAGAATAGGCAACATGGCAGAAATTTTAGATGATGATTTTTTCAGCATTGATTAAATGCTAAATGATGAAAGCAATATGGAACACAGTTAGTCAAGCACCATGGAAGAGGCTGAATACAATGACAACAATTTGATACATGAAGACGCAATGCAGCAACCCAAAGGCAGAAAACAGCTCACTGTTTCCCAAAAAAGGGAACTTGTTGATGCTTTTCTTTTGAAGCTAGAGGGTGGGGAATTGCCAAGAGGGTATTTATCACAGCAAGCAAGCAAGTTCAATGTGCACAGGTCAACAATTCAGAGGTTATTCACAGACATAAAATCCCAAATGGCAGTGGGGAATGTGATAGATGTCAGAAGCAAGAAGCTTGGCAAAACTGGACCCAAACCAACAGAGTACACAGATGAGTTTATGCAATCAGTCCCACTGTACAAGAGGACAACTGAGAGAAGCTATGGAGCTGCTCTCAAAATCTCACATGTCACCATCCATAAATTAAAGAAAAAAGGGAGACTCAGAACACATACAAGCACAAATCACCCAGCACTGACATCCAACCACAAGATAGCAAGACTGAAATGAGTTTTAAGTCATCTACTTCCTGCTGTAGAGAATGGGGACCCTAAGTTTGTGGATATGCAGCATGTAGTACACATTGATGAAAAATGGTTCTACTTGAACCCAGAAACAAGGAGGTTCTATCTCCTGCCAAATGAACCTAACCCATATAGGTGCCAACAGTCTAAAAGGTTCAAGGTAAAAGGCATGTTCATGGCAGTCATAGGGAAGTCAATATTTGACACCCATGGAGTAGTATTACATGATGGAAAGTATGGAATCTTTCCATTTGTGTATGAGAGCACAACAAAGAAAAAAAGCAAAAACATGGAGGCTGGAGCTGTGGAAATAAAGGCAACACAGAATGTGAACAAGGAGGCAATCAGGGCAATGCTCCTGAACAAAGTAATTCAGCCATCAAAAGTAAATGGCCACCCCATCTGTCCAAGGACATGGATTCAGTGGGATAATGCCAGACCTCATCAAATTCCTAAGGATGAGGAATTTATTGCTGCCTGTCAGTCACATGGGTTCACAATTCAATTTATTTACCAGCCAGCTCAGTCACCAGACTTAAATGTGCTAGATCTTGGGTTGTTCAATGTCATACAATCGATACAATACCAATCATTTCCTAAGAACTTGGGGGAACTCATAGACAAGGTCAAAGAGGCTTATGAATTGTTCAATCCAGTGTTGAACAAGCACTGTTGGATAACACTACAAGGTTGCATGGAAGAAATTCTTAAGCATCTAGGAGGGAATAACTTTCCCCACCACACAAAGGGAAGAAAAGGCTGGAAAGACTTGGCATGTTGCCAGAGCAACTACAGTTGGACAGGAATGTGGTTCAACAAGCTGTTGATTACCTCAACACTAATTCATATCAACAGGTGAAGCCAATGAAGAAGATGAAGGCATGCAAGTTGATGCAGACTGAATACAACTCAAACACATGAGCAAGGTGACAGTGAGACTGCCACACATAACCAATGGATAGCAACTGGAAACCTAGTAGGCAGTGTTTTGTGTTTTTATTTTGATAATTGTATGAGTTTCATTGGTTAGGTGTATTTTGTTTACAGTCATGGTTACTATTATTGTAAGGCAGTCTTGACTAGCTTATTTTGAACATGTACAAGCTTTTGATAAACTTTATGACATCAATTGTGGTTGGTTTATTTTCAACAAGTGATTACTAAATTAGAGCAACTGTGATACACAGACACATACATCAATCCATCAGAGGGTGTTGATTTATCACATAAATTGCATAAGTGGTTCCCTCAACAACAACTCACATATGAAGTTGTTGGAGCAATTCCAACTTATGAATTTTATGGATCAAATGAGTGCCTTCATCACTTGGATTTTTCACCCACACACAAAACAGTCAGGGACTCTTAGTTCACCTAGGGACAGACATCTGATAAGGGGACTCATACAGGGATAGTCATGTAGGCCACAAGTTCATCATCATTCATCATATTACAAACCCCAATGCTTTTGGTGCCTATTTTGTACAACCTTAAGCTCAAGCCATACATAACATAAACCAGAAATAGCCAACAAATTGACAGAACTCACAAATGATCAAGCACAACCAACAGCAGAAGCAGTACCCACAAATGAACAACTACAAACCCAAAGATCAACAACCTCAAGCCCTACATAACACAAACCAGAAAAAGCCAACAACTAGACAACAATATCCAACAACCATAGCACCCAAATTCCCAATCACAGGCAACCAATTGGCTAGCAATTAAAATACTACATCATCTAACATCAATCCTAGAATTTGTCAACAATAACCCACAAATCAGTAAAAACAAGCCACATATTACCAACAACAGTCAACAATTACTACCAATAAGTCTCAAAATAGCAAACAAAGCCTAATTATCACAACAAGCAAGCAAATCAGGCTAATAATCACAACCAGCAAATAAATCAGAGACTGAGAGTAAATGATCTTAATGAATCAATAAATTTAAGGGTTAGAAAAGAAATACGCTGCAGGATTAGTTGGAGCCACAGTTGGAAGGGTTGTAATCCCCACCACTTTCAACAGTCTCGTCAACAGGGGACTCCAATCTCTCCCTTTTTTTGCCAAACAGAACTTGGGTAGACCTAGATCTACCCACATCTACCGCCTCCTGAACGGTTGTCGCCGGCGAAAGGTCTGCAAAAGGGGGTTCAGCATCCTCGCCCTTCAGAACATAAACATCAGGACCCTTTTTGGTCGAACCCTCACCCTTGTTTCCCAGATCTGCAGCCTTAGACCCACCACGTTCCTCATCAGAGTCGTATGGAGCAAGCTTTGCACCCACACCATACGTACACCTCATATCCAGGTAAGTAGCCATACGCGTTCCAATCAACCTCATCTTCCTAGTACGTCGTTGGCACTTGTAGGTCGCAACAACGCCCAGATCTGGTTTTTTGTCGTTTGGGGAACTCATTTTTTTGGGTTTTTGGAAGAAGAAAGTAGAAGATCAGAATAGCCAGATCTAGAGAAATTAGGGCTTCAACTAGGAGAGAGAGTGAGGTAAAAGAGATCGCTTTTGGGAGAAGAGAGAGAGTGAGGTAGGCCAGATCGAAACAACAGAAGAGAAGGAGTGTTGGAATTTGGAAGAACTTCCAGAAGTAAAGGGGCGTCATTAATGGAGGTGGTTGAAGGATGCATTGAAGAGGGTGGGTGAGAAGATGAAGAGAATCTGATGAATGGATGGATAAGGGGATAAGTGAGGCTAATTCTTGGTGGGAATCATTAGGTTAGATGTGATGATAATAGGGAGATTTAATTAGAATAACAGATTAGGTTAGTATCTAATCAGTTTTTAATAAGGGCAGTATGGTAATTTTGTAGGTAAAAAAGTTACTAAAAAAGAAAATAAAACAATTTGTTACAAATGATTACTTTTAGTAAATTTTGCAGATAACCGTTAACGGAAGAAGTGTATATATATATATATATAACTATTTAATTTAATATATTACCTATTCTAATACTGCATCCTTTTTAAAATTTGTGTCATAGCAATGTGTTGTAACTTGCGAGTTAAAAGAAACGAAGAAGTGGTAATTAGATTTAGTTCTCCTATCAAAAAAAAAAAAAAAAAAGAAAAGAAAAAACTAGTTCAAATATACTTCGTTATACTAATGTGATACATCTTGAATGATTGTAACCAAGCTAAGCTTAGTCTAGTGGGAAAGGTTGCACCTTCTAACCTTGAGGAATTGAGGTTGGGAGTTCGATCAATCCCCACTAGAGACACTTTGAGGGTGGGGATCCCTTACTCTCCCCCCTCACTATCAAAGTGTTCCCGTAAATACTAAATACTAAATATTAAAACCAAAACACAATTACATAATAGCCAATTAGCTTGATTTTGAGATATGACATTGTTATCAATTACTTAAATATTCTAAGACAGATCTAATGATGATTGATCTATCTACTATTATAGTTGTGAACCGATTTAACCCAAAACCGAATTAAACGATACATTACTTGAATACGACCCAAACCGAATTGACCTAAATTGAAACCGATCCAAAACCCATAATGCCACCTCTAATTGTACAACCAAATATCGTGAGCAAATGTTAAGCAATTCTTGAAGCAATCATACTTGCAACAAAGTGCAAATTACGTACAATATTTACCAATCTAAAACAAGTCTTACATAAACCAAGCTAAGGATCCTTCTTTATACAATTCATATACTGCAACAACATGAATAAGCACAATTTAGTTGATACTAATTACCAACTAATCTTACTTTAATATATAATCCTGATTAATGATCATCAACTAACATGGGACAAAGCGATCAAGAAGCAAACACATAGTAGATTCAGAGAGAGTAGATGTCTCTTGAAATGAAAAATTTGTAGATGAATCTTGTTCTAATTTCTTGGAAAATTCTTTCTGCTCTTTTTTTGCAACCACATTTCCTGCCTTCTTTGGATTTTTAGCTTTTTCTCTCAATTTTGTGAGCTCATCCACCCATGCTCCTAGCATTTCTCCTGCCATTTTTTTTCTTTCAATAAAATTTCACTCAAAAAAATCTATTTTTTTTTTGTTTAACAATAATAAAACTCTCTTTTTTTTCTTCTCTCTATATTGTTTGGACTAGTTTATGATTGGGGGTTGGAAAAGAAGAGAGGACATTTTATAGAGGCAATAAACAAGTGGCTTTAAAGAAACAGACAAACATGCCTTAGTGTCGTCTTAAGGTAATTAATTTTTTTAAGGAATAAAAAAACTTTTTAATACTTGTATGTCTCTAGTTAATTTTCATCACTTGCACCATTTGGGAGGGGACTGGAACCTAATAAACCAAAACTGATCTCTGAATCTGGATTAGTTCAAAGGATGAATCGGTGGAACACCCAAAAAAAAAAAAAAAAAAAACTTACAACACTTTTCTCAATTGAAAATGCCACAATACTTACAATACATTATAAACATCATTTTTTTTTTTTTTTTTTTGTGTTTCTATTTTCTAGAGGTTGGACTTTACCTTTATTTAAAGCTCGTGGCCCACTTTATTATACTCTTTACAATATATCAACCTCATTTTAAGTGTGTTAAATCATGTAAGACCCACTTTTGAAAAACACTGTAAAAAAGTATGTGTTACAACTATTAAAAACTGAGAAAGTATGTCTGTAATTGTTTTCTAATAATAATTATAAAGGGTTGATAGTTTGAAGTATATATTGATATTGAATTAATAAAATCAATTATAATTTCTTCAGAATTTCCAAAATGTTGTCTAATAAAAGGTGTTAGATTAATGTAAAAGTATATTCCAAAAAATTAATGTAAAAGTAAAAATAGTGCAATTATTATTGAATATGAAGGAGGTAGAAGAAAGGGTTGAAAATAGGAAATTAAAAATCAGAAGTTTCTCAAAAGAGTTTTAAATATATATTTGGGATATTCTATAAAAGGTGTGATGATACTTTTCAATAGGAAAAGTCCCCCCACAAATTCAATTTGATGGTATATTACAATGTGGTGCCATTTGTTTGGTGATTTAGATCAAAACGTGTGACCTTTAGTTTGGTTTTATTAGACACTAGGACAATGATGGTCCATACATACAATGTAAAAAGAGCAAAATTCGAAAATGATGAAGAAATTTTGGTTTGTTTAGAGATATTTTTTTGAGAATATAAGATTGAAATTTGATTCTCACTTCACAAGGAAAAAAGGTTTAAATTTAATTCTTATGCTCGAACAATTTGGCCTTAAAACAAAACTAAACTTCAATACTCGATAAATGTTAAATAAATTAATGGCACTCATTTAAATTTATAAGCTAATGTTAAACATATATATATATAAAAAATTTGTATGAATGAATGACATATTACTTTTATATTTTAAGGACTTCATACAATTTTCAATACAAGTAACAATACATAAATTATATCATGGTGTTAAGCGAAAATCAATTGTTAATAATGAGTTGCTAACTCCTATTACCTCGTTAGGTTCGATTCTCAATTTTAAATGGGAGGGAGGCTGGTTGGAAAAATGATCTTGCCCGAGGAGTGGCTTGCTAATATGAGATAGGTTATCTAAACTCAAGCTCGTGCATATTTATTTTATAAAAACAAATTGGAATTTCAATTAAAAACATCAATAACATCATAATTAGGTGCTCTCAAAAGCATCTAATAATTGTTCCTTTGAAGTACCTGCCTTGAATGCGATGTGGGATGGGAAACCACTAGATTCAATCAAACTCCATATGTAGACAAATTTTGAGCAATTGCATTGCATTATTGAAGTAGCTTCATTTTCTTTTCCTTCTAGACTAGAATTAGAGTAGATGACACGCCAGTAGGATCAATTACCCAGTTGGACAGTTGGTGTT